ATATATATACTGTATATATATATATATATATATATATATATATATATATATATATACACATACATACAATAAAATTTGTACATTACTAATTAAAAATGAATTAATTTCAATTACCAAAATATATATTAATTAATTTTTTATTAATAATATAAACATTATATATATATATATATATTGAAATAAATCTGAAATAAAAAAATGTATATTAGATGATTTTTTTAAGTATACAACAATAAAAATGTTGCCTAAGTGAAATACATACATTTAAGTATACATTTCCAAAACTAAAACTGAAATAAAATAAAGCTAAATAGAAAGAGAAAAAAAAAATCTAATAAAAATTACTAAAACTAATAAAAGTTGAATAGTATATAATACTAAAATAACAATGATATTATCACGGTGGTCACACCACAAATATTTGAAACAAATACAAACAAACAAACAAAGACGTGCTCTTCAGGATGAACCAGGGCTGTATTGTACACCCTCTGAGATATTAGCAAAAGCACACAATGAAAACATTTAAATGGAAGGCTCTCAAAATGATATCAGTAATGGATTAATTCATATCCACCTCTCCATCTGTTTAGTATAGTCTATACAACGGCCCGTTTCTAATGGACGGCTGGTGTTGGCCAGTCATCTCCTGCATTACTCATCTGTTTCTCATTTTGCATCTTATTCTTTTCTCATCCACTCTCTCATCTCTTACACAGGCCAATCAGGACCTTTTCTATTTCAAAGTCCATTTTTCAAACACTTCAGCTGCCTTTCATCTCCATGTTTTTCCTCGTACATAGAGAGAGACTGAGAGAGAGATGAGGAGCAGCTCATCTGGAGAAAGCAGAGAACAATCTCTTCATCTTAAAGTACCACCAGCCTCTGCATGCACAAATATCTTTACCACTCCAAGCCCTGGATCAGGTATGACATATCTCACTCTCACATGCTCTGTCTTGCTCCCTTCTTCTCTCTCACTGTAGCGGAACACTGGATGCACCAAAGGATCAACCTCGAATAAGGACAAACACCAGTAATGCCTTTTCTTGGGTGTTTACTGCAAGCATGAAATGGGACAGTGTTACAACAATCATCTGTTCTGGTTTCACAATCTCTCTTCAGAATGTTTCACACAGACTCAAGTTACAGGTTGTTTTCTTTACAGTAACTGTAATTTAATAATTGTTCCACTCAATATAATGCATTACACCAAAGGCACATTTTTATATAGAATTTATATGATTTATGAACACTGATAATTAATAAAACAATAATAAAACAAAATGAACACAATAACTCATACCTGCAAGCATGAAATGGGACAGTGTTACAACAATCATCTGTTCTGGTTTCACAATCTGCAAATACATCATTTAGTTAGTACATTGCCCCATTTTTCTAATATGCAGGCGATTTACAATACCAAAGTAACAACTCAGTTTCTGTTTCTTCTCTTTAACACATATAACATGCTTTGAGTCATGAACTACATTACCCAAAATGCACCGCCGATTACTGGCGCGCATCTCACATTGTGCAGCAAGGAATTAACCACTCGCGTCAACAAAATGTAATGAAATGAAACTCAGATTAACATTAACAAGCACCATCAGACTTATGAGAATGAACACAGAACATAAACTGATATTTCAGATGTTGTACCGTTCATGGAAGTACGACACAATCGCAGGTTTAAAGCGATACAGTTTATGCAAGTATTAAACATGTACAACCTCTAATTTTACACATAACAGGGTCAACAACGGTATTACCAAAATATTTTGTTCTGATTTCATTGTAACTTCTATTTAATATGCTCTAGGAACATGTTTGATTTGTCCATTAACAGAGACACGTAACGTTCTTCTTCTTCTGTTTATTGGCGGTTTTGGAAAACCAACTTAAAGGTGCATTACCGCCACCTACTGATCTGGAGTGTGGAGTGAACAGATTTGGTAGAGAAAAGGATATATATTATATATATATAAAAAAATATTATATTTTATATATATATATACCACAATTATAATTTATATTCTTTCCATATTTCCTGTCTTTTTTAGATAATTGAACACTTCTTCTTTAATTCTTGATTGCATTTGGCTATTCCCTAGTAATATCTTGAGTGATACTTTATCATGTCCCATCAAACCTAATTTATGATTAAGTTGATTTCTTTCTCTTTCATACGCATCACATTCTAGAAGAATGTGCTTTACTGTTTCTGGATTCCCACATTTATCACATCTTCCATTTTCATGCTTCCCTATTTTGTGTAAATTGAAATTTAAAGCTGAATGTCCAATCCTAATTCTTGTTATAACATCTTTCTTCCTACTCCCACATCTTATTCTCTCTTCACCTACACACCCCTGTATCTGGTAAAGATGCCTTCCTTTTATTCCACTATCCCACAACTTTTGCCATATCTTTCTTACTTCAATTGATATAATTCTCTTGATTTCAGATTTGCTAATTGCTATATTAATCTGAGTGCTTCAGAGCCATCTTAGCCAAGCAGTCCACTTCCTCATTTCCCTCCACCCCAGTATGAGCCGGTACCCATAGGAAGTATACCATTATCCCTGATTGTCTAATTCTAAACAAGTACTGTAATACTTCATATATTAAATCTTGCCGTGCTGCAGATTTACCACTCACTAGACTTGTTAGAACAGACATTGAATCTGTACATATTACAATATTATTTGGTTGTATTTCTTCAATCCATTGTAGTGCTAATATAATTGCTATTAATTCTGTAGTAAAAACAGACAAATGATCTGATATTCTTTTGGCTATTTTTATTTTAAATGCAGGAATATATACTGCTGCTGCTGTCCTTCCGACACGTAACGTTACCTCTCTTCAGAATGTTTCACACAGACTGAAGAGTGCAGCACCCCAGGGGAATATACCATTGATCGAAGAGAGGGGTACACCACATCAGCAACACAAAAGAACATAACATTCTTCTAAACAAACACATGCAGTACAAGAAAGTAGTGTGATTATAATGTTCAATAAACACCAAGATTAAATGCGGTGTAATAAAATCGCAATTTCCATTCTGCAATAATTTTAGATATACTCCCAACCCCTCCCCCATAATGAAACGATGGATCATCCCTTACCCAGTCTTTCTGCACTTGGTTTTTCTTAACCAAAGTAACAAACAAAGTTTGATGAATTATAACACTTTCACACCATTACACCACTCTGTTCTAGAAGATGAAATGTTCATAGCTTTCATGAAGTGCTCGCAGTCCATACAGTGCTCAAGCATCACCTTATGTGCTCCAAACACACGCGCACACGCACACACACACACACACACATTACTTCAGAATTCAGTCTGGGTAAATTTCAAAGTCAGAAATGTTTGTAGGTTTATGTGAGTAGGTGTTTATTTGTTGTGTTTCTATGTTGTTTAAAGTGAGATGATCCTGACTGAACACCGCTGTGACAGGAAGTATAAATTCCTGTCATATAAAAGGACAGACTGACGTATGAGAAAAAAACACTTACACTAGCCTGAGGAGAGAGAAAAGGTGTATATACATGTGTTTTTTCCATTACCAGAAAAGTCCTACTTTAACTTTCTGTTCTCTCATTCTCTTCTTCCACTCACCTGGTTTAATTTGGAACACAACATTTGAACACTTTGACAAGGTTTGTGTACACAATCACCAGCAGCTGGACCTATTGAAGCTGGCAGACAGGCAGGTAGACAGGTTTGCAAACCAGACAGGTGCACCGTAGTGATCAAACAATGTTTCTGTTTAGTTCTATTCAGCTGTATCTAAGCACTGAATTTGGAAATGGTTTCAACAAGCATTTTCTTGTATAATGACGGCTTGACACATTGTCATTGTGATCTTAAATGCAATAAATTGCCAGAACAAACAACAATCACAATGCCAGTTTTGTCTGTTCTCAGAGGGTGAAGGCGACAGCGGTGTCACTGGGTTTTCACTGCAGTTCAACCCCAACAATCTGTCTTGCATCAAGCCTACCTAACATTGACAAGATGACAAGCTGACAAATCCTTAATCCAATCTGAGCGATGAATCCACATGAAAATTATCCTAATGTTCCGATCCCACCAACAGACCCTGGAGAAAAAAAATACATTTCTGCAGCCAAACCAAGACTGAGCTTGTTCACATCTTGTACACACTGATATCTGTCAAACCCAAAGGTTAATTAACTTGTGTCATGAAGTAAAAATGACGTTTCTTAACACAAAACCTTTTTTTTGTCCTACTGCTGCTTCCAGTAAAACCTCCACCAAAAAATCTGAATGAGAAAAATAACACACACACACACACACACACACACACACACACACACACACACACACACACACACACACACACATTCCAGTAAAACCTCCACCAAGAAATCTGAATGGGAAAAATAACACACAAAAAAACTTTAATTAAAGACAGATAAAGAATCAGAAGTTCTCCATATTTCCACAACAAGCCTCTCCAAAGGTGTACATTATTAGCACAAATGGACCAAGGGCAGTTTAAGCTTCTGTTCCTTCTGATTAGGATTTGGGGTTTTGTGCCGTTTTAATAGTTTACGGCAAACTAATTAAAAACACAATCACTACGGGAGCTGCCCTGGGCTCCTTTACAGACAGAAATAAATAGAGTCGTGTTTGGGAAACTGTGCCTCCCGCCGTGTGCTAAAGGTGAAAGTACTTTTGTGTGCAGCGATTTGTGTCGAGGAGATTCGCTTGAATAAGTGTTTTATTCAGGCAGATGAGATAACTGAGCAGTGAAGCAAGACTCGACATTAGTGTCTTTACTTATTTTTGTCTCTTTTTTATTTTTGTTATAAATCGTTGCATTTTTTTAAACAAACATCAAAACATACAATAAATCTTGTTAAAGAAATTATTACTGCTAATGCTATAGAGAGGCTGATTTTTGTTGTTTTTGAAGTTTGACAGTGTACACCTTTATTCACTGAATGGAGCAGCATGAACATTCTGCCTAACATTTCTTTTTTGTTCCACAGAAGAAAGCAAGCCCTATGGGTTTGGAATCGATGGCTAAAAACCGAATCATAACTGCCAGATTTGAAACAAAAATAGTACAAGACTTCAAAAGTTTCACATTTGCTGCAATCCAATTTTTACAGTTAAAAAAAAAAACATCTTATACAGAATCGGTAAGTTCCTCTCATGGGTCTGGTTTTGTGTGTGTGTATTTAGGCAGGCCCAGCAGGTTTTGTAGTTTATTGACCTGATTATTCTGCCAGGGAATTACTGTCTGATGTGCGAGTGTATGCGCTGTTGTACGTGTGATGGTACGGCAGAACAAATATTGACATTCATCTCTCTTGCTACATTTTTCCCGGGTGCCACTTTAATTGGCCCGGAGAAAGTCACCACAAATAAATGAAAGCTGACTCTCTAAAAGCTTGCAATAAATGAAATATTTTTTTTCTCCCCATTGTTCGCACCACCTTCTCACGCTTCCCCACCTCTCTCCATCCGTGAGAAATCTCAAGCCTTTTCCTCTGAGGTAAATAATGACTTAATACAGCCAGATAAAGGCAGAGAAATAATAAAATAGCAAATTGCCATTTGTTTCTCTTTTATACCCCATGCTCTGTTTGACTTGAAGAGTTCAGGGCTGAGAGAGTTGCTAGCTGTTGCAGCAGAGTACACAGAGTGAGTTTGTCCCTGTCAGTTTTATCACTGTTTTGACAGGAGTGACATTAGTAAAGACACAGATATGAATGTGTCTGAGTTTTACAACAAGGGCTGAGCAAAACAGACAGCTGGTAGCACAGTTACAGAGACAGATGCAAACTCTTCAGCTACAGAGCCCTGCAGGAAATAAAAAACAGCTTAAATCAGCCTGAGGTGGCTTTTCTAGTCTGGTCAAGTGGGTTAAGCTGGTCTGTTAAGGGTTAAGCTGGTCTGTTATGACTGGAAGACCAGCTGGCAGAGCAACTAAACCAGATAAACACCAGCTTGGACTGGCTGGAAGACCATCTTAGGCTGGTTTAAGCTGTTTTTTTGCCATGCTAGTCCTGGATCTATAGCCATTATGTATTTACACAAGCTTCACTTCACATAAACTGTCACTCATGCTAACATTTTTAAGCTCCTAACTGCTCTGACTAAAGCACATTTAATCTTCTGAAGTTTCTTACAGACTTAAAGGTTAAGGCTTTTTTTTTTTTTATGTTAACACATTTCTTACTTTCAACAGTTTTTTTTAAAGAATAATTTTTAGTGTTTTAAGAACAAAGAGACTAAAACGGACAGTCAGACTCTTCATAGAGAATGGAGAATCATGGATTTCATACAAAATGGAGATGCATGAAGCATGACTTGAATAGCATTTAGTAGTTCAGAGTCTATTGTGAACTCATAGTGATTAAATATGCTTTAATCTTTCAAGTTAGGCATTTGAAATCCACATGTGATGTGAGAGCCCATAATAAACAAGCTTGCATGACTGACTGAAAGACTGACTTAAAGCAAGCGCATGTAGTCTTTAGGGTCAACTGTTATATTAAATAGCTCATTTCATCATTTTAGGTTTTGAATAAAGGCTTATAATGTTAGTCAAGTTTTTTGCATCAAAACCAATCATATTTTAGTATTTGACCCTCTGTATTAAACAAGTAATTTCATTAGCTGTGCCTTTAAGACTCTATTCAAATGCTCTCCTAACATGTGAATAGCAATAACAATGTATATGCAAATCCTTCATCATATTATGACAGGTTCACAAAACAATCCACACTGAAATGTGTCACACAGACTGAAATCTTGCCACTGGTTATTGGGATTATCCAGAAGGATATGCAGAGCGGCAGGTGCTACACCACAAGACTGGGTAGCATGTTATAGTACTTTTTAGCATTTTTATTTCCAAGGATTATGTAAAATATTTAATTTTAAAATGTTGGTATGTGTAGAGACATTGTTAAAAATAAACGTACGTAACTTGTATCTAATATTGTGATTATTCAGAAGGACATGCAGAGGGGTAGGTGCTACACAAGCCTCAAAGTTTTTCAGTGCTCAAACTGGCCAGTATGTTTTCATAGTACATTTAAGACTTTTATTTTCAAGGATGATGTAAAAATTTAATTTTATATTTCCATTTAGCTGACAGACTTTGGTGTACCATCTGACAACACAGGAGACTTTGTCTTAAGGACTGAAGTGAGGAAAATCAGTGACGGTCCCACGTCAAAGTGTCTTGTGTGCTTTCTTACCTAATCCTCTGAAACTAACCCTCTGCTCTTCATGATCTCATCCGTCATGACAACATCTCCAAATACCACTCTGGTCAAATTTGAATGGCTCCTAATTTAGCTTTGAAGCTCACCAAATCTTTGTTCAGCTGGTCTTCTTGGCAAGATTCTCTAATAAACTTTGACCTTTGTGGATGATGGAAATCAAAGGCAGACATGTTGTTAATAGGTTAAGAGAGATCATGTCTCAGGAGAACATGAGAACAACTCTTTCTGAATGCCTTTTGAGGTCAGGAAATACACAGAGGTTTTACTGAGTGCAGCAGGGACAAATTAATAGGGGATCAAGGGAAAGTGCCTCTGAAAATGAAACAAAAATTATTTTTCATATCAAGTGAATCATATCAACACAAATCTGTAATGACATTTTTTGTTTCTCATAATAGGACAATCATTTATATGAAATAAAAGTGATTTATTGATTGTTTTATTCACCTGGTCAGGATGTAAATTTGAGCCCAACGGTTTTGTATATTCTAAAGACAAGAACAAAGCTGATAGTGGAAAATATTATCTGATTTATTGTCTTGAAACACCCTAAAATGAAGTGGAACATGTATGTAGATTTGATTTGTTTACATTAAGGCAAATCATGGCTCGTATAGCACTTTACTGAATGAGTTACAGTTTAGCCTGAGACTCTTATATGATGAGACAACTGAGGAATGCAGACTGGAAATAAAGAGCTGTTTGCTTTGCAGGGACTGAAAAAAAATTCTGTAACTGTTCTCCTCTTTCTGTTCCCTTAATGGCCCTGATGAGCACACACACACACACACACACACACACACACACACACACACACACACAGAGAGAGAGAGAGAGAGCGAGAGAGACACTATCACCACTGACCAATTTGAGACAGACAGACACATTTGGTCTCCAGGGTAACCTAGCTTTTGTCTATCTCGTTGCCAGGTGACTGGTTGTCATAGAATCCAGACATGTACATTTAGTATTTGACACGAATCTCCAGCTGTTATCCTTCTGTTCCAATATTTCTTAATTTTATCATTTTAATGTGTTTCTTCTACATGTTGTCACTTTAAAGAATGCCATAACAAATGACATACAAACCCTTTTTTTGATAATTCAGAACTCTGTATCATCGCATGTTTCAAGATTTCTTTCAGGAAAAAAAGTGCAGCTCCACCTCCCTCCAGTAGAGGAAAAAAGCAGACAGACAGACAAATAGATAGCAACCACCCAGAACACCTTAGTAACTGCCTAGCAATCACCAAGAAAACCCTACCAACTGACTAGTAGCTTACATAGATAGATAGATAGATAGATAGATAGATAGATGGATAGATGGATGGATGGATGGATGGATGGATGGATGAATGGATAGACCGATAGATAGATAGATGGATAGATGGATGGATGGATGGATGGATGGATGGATGAAACACATGAGCCTGTAGAATCATTGTGACCCTGGAGTGTGTGTGTGTGATTGTGTGCGTGTTTGTGAAGGCATGTCTGCCCTTCAACTGACACAGTTTAGAGGGAGCTGAGAGTAGTTGGGTAAATTTGGCTAATTCTGCTGATGTGCCGGGGGAGAGAAACACACTCAAGCTGACTGAACTGGGTGAGTATTAAATGTAGGGCAAAGTTCCAAACCAAAACTACCACACTCACACACACAAATACCTCACTCACACACAAGCAGACACACATACACACACACAGGTTTGTTTTTGTGAAAAGTGGGGACATCCCATAGGCGTAATGGTTTTTATACTGTACAGACCATATATTCTATTGCCCTACACCAACCCTACCCCTAAACCTACCCCTCACAGGAAACTTTGTGCTATAAATACAAATGTCAGCTGGTGCGCATTGGCTACAAAGACGAAACAAAGCATCCGTGCCACACACTCTCTCACATAAACACACATTAACAATCACATGCACCAAGCTGGCATAAACATACACAAACACACAAGACCTCTCAAACAAGTAAACTTTCTCGGGATCCATGTTCTGCTGATTGTCTGTTGTGTAAATATTTACCTTAACACTCTCCAAATTCCCTGGTCCCTTCATCTGGTCCACCATTGCCCCTGCGCTCCTAATGTGGAAAGAGCTGCAATCAAACACACACAATGTGTTTACCTCATCTTCAACATAAAATACACACTGCTAATGAGAGCGCGAGACAGAGAGAGATGTACAAAGACAAATTCACAAAGACATGTACACACACACCACAAACAGATCCATGAGCAGGAATCATCAGGCCACCGCACACATACACACACACACACACACACAGACACACACACACACACAGCTAATCAGCAGTGAGTGGCAGTGTGAACTCTATATTTAGTGATTAATCTGTCATTGGGAGATTTACACGAGTGACATCATCAGATTAGAGAGGTCACTGGAGGCGGGGCTTGGCAGGTAAGCAGCGTGTGATTGGTCCCTGAGGATGAATGGAGCTGTCAGTCAGTGTCAGGTTTAGCTGCTGGCAGACGAGACGCTGAAGACGAGAATAATTAAGATTTGTTAATGTTTTTGGAAT